AAGTGTTTATTACTAGTCAGTCAACGCGTCCAGCTTAAAGGATTTTTTGAGGAAAATTTGTATAATAAGAGAGTTAGTTATTTGAATTTTATTTTTATATGTCACCTTTTTTTATTACAAGTTGAACTTTTTAATTTTTAATTAATTTATGAATTAATATAATTTTTATTTCGAACATTGTTCATATATGATGGTGTACACATGTTAACTTTGTAATAGAGTTATTTAGTTGTTCTCTTGCTTTCGTTTTATTTTGAAAATTATTTTTAATCTTATTTCGTGTTTCTCTACTTTTGTTTATTCGGGATCTAAGATTCTTCTCTTTTTTTTTTTTTTTTTGGTTCAACAGTCACGGGTGTCCTGATCAGGTTACACATATATCGACTAATTCCCTTTTTCGTACGATTAAAGACAAATCATCTACGCCAGAACTAGGACATACATGAAAGATAAATCTCTCATGGTCTATTCTCAAAGAATTACTAAGATTCAAATTTCAAATATTTGAATTTACAGCTCATATATGTTACTATTTGAACGACGTATCCTTCGTCTTCATAAGACTTTTCTTAGTTTGATCGGTGGAAATCTTATTTTTCTCTCATTTGTCTAGTCTCCTCCGCGAGTCAAGTTGGGATTCCCATGTTACGAGAACTATATTTTTGGAATCAAAATGAATGGGTGTGAAAAATGGCTTGGAAAATTAATCTAGTGGCTCCACCAAGAAAAAGACCCAAAAGATAAAGAAATGACAATATTCCGAACATAAACATGCATGGACCCTACTAGTGTTAGTATTGTAAAAGACAAGTGTTTACTACTAGTCAGTCAACGGGTCCAGCTTAAAGGATTTTTCGAGGAAAATTTATATAATAAGAGTTAGTTATTTGAATTTTATTTTTATATATCACCTATTTTATTACAAGGTGAACTATTTAATTTTTAATTAATTTTTGGATTAATATAATTTTTATTTTGAATATTATTCATAGATGATAGTGTACACATGTTAATTTCGTAATAGAGTTATTTAGTTGTTCTTTTGCTTTCGTTTTATTTTGAAAATTATTTTTAATCTTATTTCGTGTTTCTCTACTTTTGTTTATTCGGGATCTAAGATTCTTCTCTATTTTTTTTTTTTTTTGGTTCAACAGTCACGGGTGTCCTGATCGGGTTACACATATATCGACTAATTCCCTTTTTCGTACGATTAAAGACAAATCATCTACGCCAGAACTAGGACATACATGAAAGATAAATCTCTCATGGTCTATTCTCAAAGAATTACTAAGATTCAAATTTCAAATATTTGAATTTACAGCTCATATATGTTACTATTTGAACGACGTATCCTTCGTCTTCATAAGACTTTTCTTAGTTTGATCGGTGGAAATCTTATTTTTCTCTCATTTGTCTAGTCTCCTCCGCGAGTCAAGTTGGGATTCCCATGTTACGAGAACTATATTTTTGGAATCAAAATGAATGGGTGTGAAAAATGGCTTGGAAAATTAATCTAGTGGCTCCACCAAGAAAAAGACCCAAAAGATAAAGAAATGACAATATTCCGAACATAAACATGCATGGACCCTACTAGTGTTAGTATTGTAAAAGACAAGTGTTTACTACTAGTCAGTCAACGGGTCCAGCTTAAAGGATTTTTCGAGGAAAATTTATATAATAAGAGTTAGTTATTTGAATTTTATTTTTATATATCACCTATTTTATTACAAGGTGAACTATTTAATTTTTAATTAATTTTTGGATTAATATAAATTTTATTTTGAATATTATTCATAGATGATAGTGTACACATGTTAATTTCGTAATAGAGTTATTTAGTTGTTCTTTTGCTTTCGTTTTATTTTGAAAATTATTTTTAATCTTATTTCGTGTTTCTCTACTTTTGTTTATTCGGGATCTAAGATTTTTCTCTATTTTTTTTTTTGATTCAACAATTAGGGGTGTCGTGACCAGTTTATACTCACCTTGATTAATTTTCTCGCCAATCCGATTAAAGACATGTCATCAATGTCGGAACTAAAACATTCATGAGAGATAAATCTCTCATAGTCTATCTCCAAAGAATTACTAAAATTCAAATTCTAAATGTCTGAATTTATAACTCATTCATGTTACTACTTGAATTGCGTAACTTTAGGATTTGTAAGACTTCTTTCAATTTGATTGATGGAAATCTTATTTTTCTCACTTTAGTCTAGTCACCTTTACGAGTCAAGTTGGGATTCCCATGTTATGAGTACTATGTTTTTGGAAATCAAAATCAAAATGGATGGGTTCGAAAAATAGCTTGAAAAATTAATCTAGGGGCTCCACCAAGAAAAAGACCCAAAAGATAAAAGAAATGACAAGATTCCGAGCATAAACATGGACCCTGCCATATGGCTCCAAGTCCGATGTGTAATCTGTGTCTATTAGAAATCATAAAAATATGAGCTGGGCGGAGCCAGAATTCCACGTGAGAAAGGGCAAACTATAAATAAAATAACTGTAAATTAGAAAAGGTACATTAAATTAGAGTTAATTATAAAAAAATATAAAAAATAAATGTAGGCTAAATAAGTCCTTAATTTTGGTTATTAATTGTGTCCAAATACATAATTTAAAATTTTTAGATTTTTTTATGACATTTCTATCCTCCCTTAATTCATGCATATATTTTTTTAAAAGTGTGTTTGTTTGCAAATTATATTTATGCGTTAAACATCTCCTAATTTTATGAAATGACTTTATTATTCTGTTTATTTGAAGATATATTATTTTGTTTGAATTTTAAAATTTGAAACCTTGTCATAGTGGAGTTAATTATAAAAAAATACAAAGAAAAATATGTAGAGAAAAAAAGTCATTAATTTTAGTTCTTATTTGTGTTCAAGTACATAATTTGAAATTTTTGGATTTTTTTTTGATATTTGTGTTCTCCCTTAATTCATGCGATTTATTTTTGAAAATTGATTTATTTTTTTTCAAATATATATGTATGCATTGAAAATCTCATAATTTATTGGAAGATTTGATCCTTCCATTTTTTTTGAGGATAAATGTATGCATTAAAAATCTCCTAATTTAACGGAAGATTTGATTCTTTGATTCTTCTGTTTATTTTGAGGATAAATCAGTTGGCTTGAATTTTAAATTTTGCAATAGTATCTTTTGTTATAGCTTCTTCTTCGGCCTAGTAGCCAAATCAGTGCAAGTCGAAAATATTATTTCATACTTATCATTCATTCTAAACAATTACAAATTTTGAATTCATGATTTCATTATGTTTATGTTTGTCATTTTAAAGGTGATTATTATGTTTTTTAATATGTGAACACCATAACTGTGTAACAATATACTTACACAAAATATTGTACTATTACATTTTTTCAAACATATATTTGTATATAATTTTATTCAAATAATCCATTTTTATTTTGATTTGTTACCACATCCACAAAATTATTGAATATTGTCTTTGTTACAGTGTATTGTTACACTATTTTTGTTACACCATGAGGGAAACATAGTTAGCAGTTAAGAGATACACACAGTTTATTTACACAATGAATTAATATGGTAGAAACATCGTATTTCACACAGACCAATGATCAACTTTTAACAACTGATTCTAGTCTTCAAATGCTGAACTTCATACGTACCTTCAAATGACGAACAAATCTTCAAAAAGTAGATGTTGTTGACGATCTTATATCAAATGGGCTGAACAATAGGAATTTTCCTTCAAACAAGAAACTTGATAAATGTTCAGAGAATAATTTCTTTTCGCCCAAAAAAATACCAAAATCAAAATAAATGTAATGTATTTTGATTTTTGGATAATCCATGATGTCAATACAAAAAAAAAAGTACATGGAATGACGAAATTCAACGATCACCTTATTAAACGCAGGCCAACGAGCAACAATGAGATCTTGTTTCAGGTTTCGCTACTGCTGAAGTTTGAAATCTCTTCAAATTACGAACAAATCTTTCACTATTCTTAAGTTTGTGTCAATCTAACACCAAATCTTCTGTAATTCGATGTATCTTTTACAGTCAAAACCCTCTTGTTGTTTATAGAAGACAAAAAGTTAGGCTTTTTCTCCAAAGATGATGCGGTTTTCTGTGAGAAAGGAGTATACAAAACGTTTTTCGAAGATGGAGAGATTCAAAAATAAATGTCTCTAAACTGCAACAGTTAAGATAAATTCTTTGTTATAGTTTTTAGGAAAATTTTTTTTATAAATGGGCTCAGTAGTTTACTTCTTTCCAAAATATTTTTTTTTGTCTATTTTTGTACAATTATATTTAATTTGGTGTACTGGCTTCCAAAATACCCATAAAATATATTTTTTGAATTTCAAGTATGAGAAATGTATTTAGGAAGATTCAAAATAAATTATTAAATGAAACACAACCAATACCATGCAGCCTTAACAAAATATAAACAAAAAGGTACAAAATAATTTTTACTTTGTATAATTTAACTTAGTTATACTAAAAGTGAGACACAAGGTTCTTTTAATTCTCAAAAACTTGTATACTTAATTAATTCTACTTTGAATTTCTCTTTAATTCATCAGCCATTTTATTATGAAGCCTAGTGGAGATGATATTTCTTCTTGTTGAGGCACTGATCCATTGGAAGAGCCAAAATGGTTTTGGGTTAGGACATTTTACTATTTATATCTAATTATGTTAATCGATTATGTGTTACTGTTGTCTGCTATACAATTATTTCTAGAAAATATGTGATAGAAATATTTGTACTCAATTAAAACAACATTTATTTTATTCGTTAGGGGGAAGTGGGCCACTACTCATTAAAAAATCTAGTGAAAATTGTGACTCAATTTTTTTGAATGAACTTATAATGACTTGAATTTGTCAAGAAAATTTATTCACGGTTGCCGACAAATGTTATATATGTCTGGTCACAAGTTGATCATCTTGCACCTTGTTCACTGCCATCTCTCTCTCTCTCTCTCTAAAGTAGCATGGGTTCTTGTGGATTTTCTGTGATCATAAAGAAGAGAGAGGTGGTGGCAGCTGTGCTGCCAACGCAGGAGCACTGGTTACCAATGTCAAACCTGGATTTGCTTCTACCACCCTTGGACTTTGGAGTTTTCTTCTGCTACAAGAAAAGAACTGACCAAGAACAGTTCGAAAACATGGTGAACACCATCAAGAAAGCCTTGTCTCAAGCCCTCGTCTCCTTCTATGCATTAGCCGGAGAAGTAGTTCACAACCGCCTTGGCGAGCCTGAGCTGCTCTGCAACAACCGGGGCGTCGATTTTGCCCTAGCTTATGCAGATGTGGAGCTCAAAGACCTCGACCTCTATCACCTTGATGACTCCGTTGATGGGAAATTGGTCCCCATTAAGAACCATGGTGTGCTTACCGTTCAGGTGAGTTGTCTGTTTTTTTGGACGATAATCGAGTCGTGTTCTAGTTAATAGGCTTAATCTGTGACACACAAATATGACCACATATAGATGCCTAGTTCACATATATATCATCATATACCATTGTATGTATATGTCAAAAAGAAAGCAACACATTTCTCAACTTCATAAGACACCAACCGGAAAACATCACTAAATTAAGGGCTTATTTTATTTATTTTGACGAACATATCATTTTATTAAGGAGGAGATATGCTTGTTAACCTCTATCATATAAGCAACACCAGTAGTCGCCGAAGTGGATCACATTTCTTATAGTCATGCCATTAATGTCAATTGTACGTTGCCATAGATGCCATTGTCACCACCATTGACATGAATGCATGAGTGCCGAGTGTTAGGCCCCGCTACTGCTTCAAGTGTTGTAAACCCATCTTCCAAGTTTTATCTTTATTGTATAGAAAACCTATTATGCTTGCATGTTCCAAAAAAATATTATGCTTGATCTACTCTCAATTGTGTTCCTGTGATGGATTGAGGGTGGTGTATTGGTGTCAACTTATACCTGACATATGACACTTCACAATACAATGGACTCTGACTTATTGTAGCTCTTCATATGCACTGAGCTTTTTTTTTCCCCTTAACTTCTAGCAGTTTTGGGTACATAATTTGCATAGACATTTGAATAGTCATGATGTTGTTTGCTTTAAATGATAGTGGTAATAATTTTCCATTAGCTAGGGAATAAGAAAAGATGGTATGTTACCTTTCTAGAAATATTACATGTTAATGTGACAATTTTTCACTGCCCATAAAAAGTTAGGATTTGATTGAATATAGAAAATTTATTGATGTTATAATAGGAAGTTAAAAATTTTTCAATCTTAAGGTACTTTTTATAGTAGTACAAATATAGATAGATATTGACATAGATATAGATATCGATAAAAGCCTAGCAAAAGTTTTCTAACTCTCCAAGTATCCCTACAACCCAAAAAAAAAATGAAAAACATCATAATCTACTAATTTTGAGTCAAGTGACACTATGTTGGATTGAAAATGAACTATTATGCCGTATCAATGCTGGCATGCAAAGGTTCACGGCCAAAAACCCTTCGATAGCATCTATGCCATGGCGTGGAAAAGGACAAATACTAAGATGACTTTGAATTGTCTAGCCCAACCTCACCTGAACTTGCACTTAGGTGCTACATATAACTTTTCACATGGTCCATTGTTGCCAGCTTTTCATGAATTGCAAGCTAGAGGTAGCAGGCAACGANTCCATTGTTGCCAGCTTTTCATGAATTGCAAGCTAGAGGTAGTTTTTACAGATGTTTATGTTTTGTTTGGTACGATGGAAAGTTGGAGAGATAGATAAAATATTATGTTTAATAAAGAAGAAAAAAAGGAAGGATGAAAAAATAGAGGGATTAATTTTCCTTCCAACTCATCCAAAATAGTCTCTCCAAAATTAAGAAGAAAAATAGATGAAAAGTTAATTATATCTGTTAAAATGTATGTTATGTGTGTATATATTCCTTGATATATACATATAATATACTTATCAATTACATATTATTTATACATTAATTTCGTATATAGATATAATTGTAAAATATGTATTTATATTTTTTTAAATATAAAAAAATAAAAAATAAAAAATACTTTTTCTATCTTATCAAAAACAAAAAAATTAATCCTTTCTACTTTCCATCTCTTTTACCAAACACAAATGAGAGAAGGAAAGAAAGTGTATCACTTTTACTTTCTATCATTTTATTTTTTCATCTACCCTGCAAAAAGGACAGTAAGATTTTGAATCTTGAAACAAAGACATCTTTTACTTTTTATTATAAACATATCTAAGTACCAAGTTAGAGTGTCACAGTGCTATTATTGACAAACGTAGGTTCTTTTTGTCAATAAAATTTAGGGTTACAATAAAATCTAGGCCTGGAATCTTCTTGATATTTTGGAAGCTGACACTAGCATTAACCATAATTAGACTTCTCTCATCCACTTAATTGATAATAATTGAATCAAACAGGTGACAGAGCTCAGATGTGGTGGCCTAGTGATTGGATGCTCATTCGATCATCAAGTAGCCGATGCTTATTCAGCCAATATGTTCTTTGTTGCATGGGCACAAATTGCTAGAGGAAAATCTCTATCTCAGACTCCAATTTTCAGGCGCTCAATGCTCAATCCACGACGCCCAGGTCAATACGACAAGGCCATTGATGATATGTACATTTTTTTGTCGACGTTGCCACCACCACCGCCACCAAAAGATCTCAAGCCCAATGAAGATCATCTCATTAGTCGCATCTACCATATCACAGCCGAGGAAATCGACTGCCTCCAATCCAAGGCCAGTTCCAATGGATCCAAGAGAACCAAACTCGAGTCTTTCACAGCATTCCTGTGGAAGATTATGGCCGAGGGGGGCCATGATCATAGCAAGAAATGCAAAATGGGTATTGTAGTGGATGGACGCGGGAGGTTTGACAAAGCTTTGTCATTGGAGAATTATTTTGGAAACTTTCTTTCCCTTCCATATGATGAGGCAAGCGTAGGTGAGTTACGATTATGGTACCGGTTACTTTTTTATGGCATACCCATACTTTTTTATAGTTGTTCTCCGGTGCACGTCTTTTTTATTCTTAACTTACTTTCAACTACCTCATATATTTTGGTAGGATAACGAACTTATTATTTTATTCATTCCCGTAGGTGAAATCAAGATGATGGCGCTTAATCAGGTTGCAGATGCTGTCCACGAATGTGTGGAAGGTGCCAAGGAGGAACATTTTCTCGGACTGATTGATTGGGTGGAGTTGCATCGACCAGAGAAAACAGTAGCAAAGATATATTTCAAAGAGAGCAATGATGAAGCAGCAATTGTCGTGTCATCGGGACAACGCTTTATAGTATCAGAGATGGACTTTGGATGGGGACGACCGGATTTCGGGTCGTACCATTTCCCATGGGGTGGCCAGACTGGGTATGTGATGCCAATGCCAAGTATAAGTAGGGAAGGAGATTGGGTTGTGTACATGCACCTCCCTGAAAAGCAATTGGATCTGATTGAGAAGGAGGCATCTCATGTGTTTGGGCCCTTAACTCCTGCTCATTGGAACTTGATGACTGATGATTCAGAGATGACTTCTAAAATTGATATGATACATCTATGATATTTTATGTAACTAGTTAATGTAACCATTGTGAACTATGATTCATGTGGTTAATAAGTTTATGTATGTTTATTTATTTTGACATCAAAGTAAGACTAAATTCATTCAAAATCTTAGAAAGAAATAAAAAAAATGTTAAAGACAAAATTAAAGTTATAATACCAAGAAGGCTTTTTCAACAAATAGTATTACTACAAATTAATCAACAGCTAGTGAGTAAATCAATTAGCAAGAGATACTAACATTTTTATCTATTTGAGTTTTATTATATATCAATTCAAAAAAAAGGTTTTAATCCGTTCCATCCACATTGCACGTTACTAATGGAGAAAATTTCTCATTCTTTTCTAGGGAGAAAAAAATCAAAATTACGAAGAATGAAGAAATTGTGTTACTCATAACACAACGATGCATTGAAATAGAAGCTCAGAATAGAAACTCTCAATCCATGTCTCTAACCCACTACCTCTTAGATATTGGTTGGGTCATGGACCTGAACTGGGGTGCCCATGGTGGGTTGACCAAATTAAAGAATGTTTAAAGAGATATATCTTTTGGAAGTATCATTTACCAAAAAAGTATCTTTTATTAAAAGGTATCCTTCACCCAAAATACATGTTTGTTAAATATTAACAGACATGTCCTTATATTATGTGTCTCTTAATGACACCTATTGATTGCCTATATAAATCCAAGGCAATCCAATAGATGATATCTATGAAAAATAATAAAAAGTTAAAGTCTTATACTTTATTTCTCTCTCTCCTTACATAACGTTAAAAGACTTTTATGGTGTGGAAACTTGGTGTTGATTCCTATTGTGTAACAACATTATACTGTTCGAGTAATCAAAGAAAAGATAATTTTCAGATTTTAAAGTATGTGGAACATCCTCAAACGATCTTTAGGATTAAAGCGAACAAGGAATGTCTTTGATCCTATACTTCCACAATATGTATACGATTTTCAACATTGGTATCAGAGCCATTTAAGGGTGTTTTCATACTTTTGGGATCAATTATTAATTGTTTAGAAATACTATTTTTACGAAAAACTTCGAACAGGTTTTAATGACTCGAACAAATGGTCTCCGAATGCATTGAAGTTTTAATATATTGTAGTACATAGATAAATGAATCAATCTGGGAAGTTTGGTGAGAAACGATCTCATGGTTTCACAGTACCAATTTTTGAGATAAAAGTGAATTGGGAAGGAATTCGTCACTTTCGGCAAACTGAGATTTATTTTTCCGCTGTCCAGTTGTAAGAATTCGATGTTGTTTTGCTACTTGTGCCATGATGAAATGCACATATTGTACTAAGAGAAATTATGTTGTGGGCAGTCTCTGCCATAATGGCTCGTTGTCAAGGGACCCATTGTTTTTCTGATCCGGCCATAGTATATAATAGGCATAAAATACAAAGAGGTGCAAAGGCTGGCGAATAGATGACCAATTGCACTTAGATTAAAAACTATTTGTTTTATAATTCTTTACTGAATGTTTAGAGGTTTTAAACGAAATTCGTATTGGAAATTATGTTTAATGTTCAGGCCATTATATATATATATATAATATAGATATAGATATTTTTTTTTTCCATTGGTCTTGTATCTCTTGACATCCAATTTTTTATTTGGTTCCATGGAGTGGTCCATATGACTCTAGAAATATATTTTAAATACTAGATTATTGGATTTATTTTAAGATACTTATGGACTCTTACAATAGTTTGTGAGATCGAATTTTAATCGCTTAAAATTCTGAAAATTCGAAACAAATGTTGAATCTTCTATGACAACCTACTAATATTTTAAATAGAATAATATTAGCATGCTTGATAGACTAGTGACATTTGTTTCATTGTTCAAGCATGATTTAACTTAGATTTTCATTTATGTTGTTTAAATTGCATGTCTATTTTATTAAAAATGAGAATATGCATGATATGAAATTAGTTGTGATTAGTATTACCTAGAGATACTAGATCAAGTGGGAGTTTTTTTTTGTTGTTCGGTATTAGAAAACTGAAATTTTGCGCATTAATTAAATTAAGTGTTATTAATAATCACTTGGGGTGCGGGAGATGATTGAAAACTTAGTGAACTTTCGATCTCGCGACTTGTAAAAGTTGTTAATACTTGAATTTAGATTTTGTGGCAAAATTATAGAATATGTTGTGCTAATATCTCATACACATTGTCTCTGCATATAGATTAAATCATAATGACTACTAAAAGCAAAGTGGTTGAATTAACTAAGGGCGACAAATTGAACGGCGATAACTATGACATATGACGTCGTAAGATTCAATTTGTCTTGTATGAGCAACAAGTCCTGGATACTCTTGACTCTGTGCTGCCAGAGCCTAAGCAACCTCAGACCCGCCAAGAACAAGAGAATTACCAGTCTTGACAGAATAATGATCGACTTGCGCGTTATACCATGCAAGCGAGCATGCAAGATGATCTTATTCCTGAATTTGAGAATTACTCCATAGCTCACGCCATGTGGAGGGCCCTCAAAGAGAAGTTTGGTATTACTTCTCTTGTCAGGCTTCGTGGTTTGATCATGATGTTTGACTCGTATCAAAAGAAGCCAGAGCATACAATGAAACAACATCTGAGGGTTATTGCCACTATGATACGTGATTTAGGCGTTGCTGGTCATGTGTTGACCAATGAACAACAAGCTCAAGTTGTACTTCGCTCCCTTCCACCATCATAGGAGCATATGAAAAGAAATATGACACATAATGAGAGAGTGAAAACATTCGAGAATGTATCACGTCACCTTGAACTTGAGGCTGAGTGCTTGGAGGCTACCAAAGATGAGAGTAGCTCTTATGTGACTAAAGTTGGCTCGCGCAAGACTTTCGAGTCTAAACCGAAGAACGGTGGAAAAAGGTCTGATGCTCACACTAGGGCTGGTCATTCTAATTATAATAAGCACAAGCGGGGTAAAAGAGTTGGTAAGAAGAATAAAGTCAATATGGTCTACTATAACTGCAACAAGAAGAGTCACTTCGCTCGTGAATGCACTAAGCCGAAGAAGGTACTCTCTAGTTCTGTCTCTCGCATTGACTGTTTAGTTACTAGTCAAGTTTTTGTTGCTCACTCTCCTAATTCGTGGATTGTAGACTCAAGAGCAACAGACCACATAACGAGACACAAATTCGGATTTGTGGAGTACTGTCGAGTTCCAACTGGAAGCAAATAAATTTACATGGGGAATGAGACCAGTATAGATGTGCTTGGGATTGACACATACAAACTGGAATTGCAACACAGGCGCACTTTATACCTTCATGATATATTATATGCTCCAGAAATTCGACGAAATTTGTTGTCAGTTACTAGCTTAATGAGGCTAGGTTTTATTTTTCGTTTTGAAGGCCAGCATGTTGGCATTTATAGGGGAACTACATTCTATGGATCTGGTTATATCACAAATGGTTTTATTGTATTAGATATTGATCATGCTAGTAATGAAATTTATTCTTATGTTCCATCTATAGATAGTGTTGACTCTATTAGATGGCATGCTAAATTAGGTCATATTGGGCAAGACAGATTGAATAGATTAGCTAGAGAAGGATTTTTGGGCCCACTCGCTAAAATCAACTTGCTCACATGTGAAAATTGTCTCGCAAGTAAGACAACTAGAAAACCATTTGGTAAGGCCAAAAGAGCAGCTATTCCATTGCAATTAATACACTCAGATATATGTGGCCCAATGAATGTGAAGGCAAGACATGGTGTATCCTATTTTATCACTTTTATAGATGACTTTACGCGCTTCGGTCATGTTTATTTGATTTCTCACAAATCTGAAGCATTGGATTTCTTCAAACGTTACATTAAAGAGGTTGAGAATCAACGAGACAATAACATTAAAGTTCTTAGAACGGATCGAGGTCGCGAGTATCTATCTGAACAGTTTAAAGAGCTGTGTGAAGAAAAAAGAATAATCAGGTAATTGACAATACCTGACACTCCGCAACAAAATGGTGTAGCGGAGAGACGAAATCGCACCTTGCTTGATATGGTTAGGTCTATGATGGCACAAGCTTATCTTTCGATTTCATATTGGGGAGATGCTTTATTGAGTGCTACTTATATCCTTAACCGAGTGCCTTCTAAATCAGTTCCTTCTACCCTATATGAGTTATGGACAGGCACAAAACTTGACTTGAATAATTTATGGCCATGGGGTTCAGCGGCTTATTTATACAATACTTCTCATAAATATGGGAAGTTAGGTCCTAGAAGGAAGAAGTGTATTTTCATTCTCTATTTTGAGCACTCTAAGGGCTATGTGTTTATAAGTGAACAACTTGATGGAAGGGTAACTAAAATTGAGTCATGGGATGCAATTTTCCTTGAAGAGGATTTCTCTAGCAGAGGAGATGTGTCTAAAGGAATAAAACTTTATGAGTTAGATGATCCCCAAAGAGATATACTCACTAACCAAGTAGAGATCGAGAAAATAGTTTCGTCACCTCCTAGGGACAGTGGAAGCAATATACTTAATGGTGGATCAGTTCCAATGGATGTAGATCCATACGACACAGAGTTACAGAGAAGTAAGCGTGGAACCATCTCTTGACGTCGTTTTGAGATTGAAGGGGAAGCTTTCATGGTTGCTCCACCTGATGATGCCGACCCTAAAAATATTAAAGAGGCTCTATCATCATCTGCTGGTAATGAGTGGATAGCTGCAATGAATGACGAGATGGAGTCAAGAAGGCTAATCAAGTCTGAGACTTGGTTGACCTTCCGCCTAGGCGCAAAGCCATTGGGGAAAAATGAATTCTCAAAATTAAGCGCAAGTCGGATGGGTTCATAGAAAGGTATAAGACTCGCCTAGTGGCAAAAGTTTACACCCAAAGAGAGGGTGTGGACTACGAGAAAACTTTTTCTCCAGTTGTAAGGTTTGCCTTGATTCGCATGATTCTAGCTATTGTCGCACATTTGGATTTAAAAATATATCAAATGGACG